TAGTAGGTACTCAAAACTATATTTTTCAGTCAACTGAAAGAGAGAAGGAGACTTTGGATCCTACACTCAACACAAAGGCCAAGCATTCCCACACAGTTATTGCTGCACTGACCCTGAAAGGAGGAGAGGCCTTGATAGAGTTTTCTGGAAGCCTATTTTGATACTCAGAATGCTACAAGCACTGCAGCAAAGTAACAAGAGAACTGGGTTAAACAGAACAGTCAAAGAACTGGCCTTGAATTTGGGATCTTCTATTCTAAAGATATATAGTCATCTAACTTGAGCCTTCTCATTTGTGAAATGGGGACAAAATTCTATAAGCCAACATTAATGTGTACACGCTGTTCTAAACCCTAAAAGGGTTATTATATTTTTCCCTCAAGATATGACATTTACAGAAATGTTTGCTGGTCCTGCTACCACATTGACATATAAAGTAATTTAAATTTCCAATCATTTACTTTCTAATGCTTTATTTAGGGTCAAAGCATTTAGCTTTTCATCTATGAAATTGGAAAAATAGTGCTTAAACTAGTTTTAATATGTGCACCTTAGCCCCACATCTTTCAAAAACACTCTCATCACATCAACTAAATTTTAAAATATCCCCAAAACTTAAACCCACTCTGTGTGAATTTAATCATTCCTACCTCACATATATTTGATGTTTTTGACTTTGAATTTCAGGCATTGTTTGAAATTGAACCCTAAGTGCAGTGCTGAGAAACATGAATTTATAATATATTGGTTATTGTTCCTATTCTTTCCCAGGAGCAGAGTCTCCTGATTTTCTAATGTTTTTCTTGAAGTTGTGATCTGATCTTCTATTTGCAACTCTGAAGGACTTTTAGGCTCTTTGGATTGACTGTTTCTAAGGAGAGATTGCCTGTTTGTCCTTCACAAGTATTCATCCTTGGAAATGTCAGAAGAAAACTGACTTCATCTTTCCACTTTCCATTTTTTTCCCTGAACAAATAGCTTCTGAGAAACAAAATCATCCAAACACCACCAGTGTAGACATTTGCAACAAATAGTGCCAGCCTGCTGGGTGCTACAGGATTTGCAAAGACAGAACCTTCTAAGGCTTTTTCATTTGATTTGTTCCATGTCCTCAGACCATTGTGACAGACAGACAAAAGGACACTCATCAACTGAACCTGTCATATGCTGAGATTGTCCACAACTGTAATTTGGATATTTACACTGACTCATTGTGTGATGACCTTGGCCAGTTGGACACCTGCTCTGTAGAATCCATTATCTGTTCCAACTCAGGGTGGGAGTAAAGCTGTTCTGCCTGCCTGAATGCAACTTTCAACTTCAAAGTAATGCAATTTTCACTAAAGGCTGTAGGAGTGAGGTACAGGTGGGGATAAAGTTGGGTAAAATTGTAAAATTGACCTTTGACAGCAAGCTGCCCTTGACCTATGAAGGTAAAATGATTGGAAATATGATATGAATTTTCAATATGGGCTTAAAGAAACTGGAATGCCATAGAAAACAGGTGACAGGGAGTACCAAGAGCAGCATAGTACCAATGCCTTCAGTAAACAAGCAACAGAAACTACCAATAGTGTTTTCCTTATTTTTCAAGGCAAATATTAGGTAAATACTGTTATAGACAAGTAGTAGCTGATGAAACCCAGGAGATAGACTCCTTTCTTTCCTGCTCCAAGACTTAGAACCTTTAAAGCTATATTTATGGAAGAATCAATAGACTTGCTGATTCATGAAACCCTTAAAAAAGATCAAAACTTCCTTATTTCTTTCAGATGAGCTACAAAGAAGGAAATTGGCTGCCTTAGGGGTTACATAGTTAGAGAGCTGGAATTATGACTCTTGTACTCACTGAAATGTTCTAAAATCAACTTGAAGATCAGTCCATCAACTAACTACTCCAATTGAAGGAAATACATCCATCAAATCAGTTTATTTTACTGAATCTATCAATTTTGAATCCACAGTAATATCAGAAGTTGACCAAATTATCTGATTAATAAATTCAACTGACTGGCAGGTTTAAAACATATTGCCCCATTGATTTGACTGGTCACTATGAAAAGCACTACTCTTTTGGTCCACAGTTTTTTCCTTAATGGTGATAGTGATTTTAGTCACAGGTGCTCTTTATATTGGGATCTGGGACTGTTATATTATCTCTCTCCTAGAAAAATTGCTTTCTTTTCCCTTCCAACTTTCTTTAGCAATTTACTCTTCACAATCATATCTGCATAGTGCATCATAGGGCATATTGAAGACACTCAACAAACACTTGCTGGGTGAAGCGGTGACTGAAAATTTCTTCCATTAATTTTTTAACTTCACTAAGTTGCTCAGCCTTCAAATTTCCCCTGATTTTAACAGTTTTGTCAGCTCTCCCTTCTGTCAAGTACCAGCTATGTTTCTTAAACAGTCTCATTTCCAGTTTGACAGTCTTTAACATGAGAGTAAATGCATTTTCTAGGTTTACTTCACAAAGCTGTTGATTATGTGAAATGATGTTCTATATCTTTAAAAAAACATTAACAGTAGCTCACGAATGTCAGGTATTGGAACTAGATCACAATTTCTCCTTAAGGAAACAGCATCAGACCTTGGAAAGTGATATATTTCCCAATTAAATTGAATTTGTGCATTCAACATTCTCTGAGCACATACATTACAAATGAACTTGTGATAAGAGATCACCAATAATAAGTCATTCCGTCTAGAGTTAAATGCTTTTAACATTAGTAGTGGCATCAACTCACTTTCTCTGAAGGCACAATGACAAACATATGAAAAAATGTGAAGAGTAGTAGGTGAATTTCTCTGTAGCAGGCAGGAGCGGTGGTGCATGCCTGTAATCCCAGCAG